CTGTGAATTTCTGAAACTACATCAATTCATTGCAGTCATTTTAATTTTCCATTTTTAAAGCCTTGGTAAATAAAATAAGGGCACTAAAGTAAGAAAATATTCAAATAAATACCTAAACACTTCTATAGAGAGATGGTAACACACCAACTCAGTACTGTTGACTTTTTGGCTATCAGCTAATTACATGAAAGGTCAAAGCTGGGATAAAAAAGGAGATTTAAAGAGTTAAAGCATCATGAAAGCACGTCTAGGATTTTCGTAATCCAGACTTTATAGATGGTAAGGACTGCCTTTGTTAGCAAATTCTTCATCATGGGAATTAAGAGGCAAATCCTGCTTTTCTAAGCAAAGTGTTGTTGAAAAATAGCATTCAAACGCTGCCTACGCTTGCTTTGGGTTAAAATAGCAGATATCCATATGCCTTGCAAAGATAAAAATATTTAATTCTGGCGCTCAAGGAAAAGTTTTCACTGACTGCTGATGTAGGTAGGGCATGACTGAGTTCATTCTGTATTCACTGAGTTTTCTCTTTTTTGAAAGTATACCTTTATTTGTAACTCTCAATCTATTATTATTTATCTATCAATCGATCGATCGATCTATCTCTACAGTTATTATACAAAACAAAATATGAAAAGGGCCAGGTGTGGTGGTGCACACCTGTAATCCCAGAGGCTCACAAGACTGAGGCAGGAGAAGCTCAAACCAGCCTCAGAAACTTAGTGAGATCCTGTCTCAAAATAAAAAATAAAAATACAGGCTGAGCATGTGGCTCCATGGTTAAGCACCCCTCAGTTCAATCTCTGGTACAAAAAAAAAAAAAAGACTTAGTGATAGTTTATATCTGCTACTAGTTAACTAAATATGCTTTAGTACCCTTCACCCAAAATGTAATGATTTACTCAATATTTATCTTAAAGATCCAAAAAATAGTTATAAGAAAACAGTTATATAGAAAATGCTATGCATCCCTAACAATGAACCTAAGTAAAGTTACCCAGGCAATGATCTCTTTTGTTGTTTCCTGAAGAAAAACTTCAAAGCTTTTTTATTAATAATTCTCCAAGGGATGATTTCCAAGTGCTTTAATGAAGTGTTTTGTATTGTTTACAAGTCCTGAAAGAAAACAGCACTATGGCATCTCAGTCAGAGTCCATCTAATTGTGGGGCTGGGAGGGAAGACAAGCAGGGCCAGATTCTTTCTAGAATCTGAATAAAAGTAATGGGACAGCAGCTGAGAAAAGTATTTCAGAGAAGAGTTTTGTCCAGGCTGGGGATTCCACCTCACAAAGAAAACTGTTGTGTAAGTACTTTTGAAGGACTTTCTATTCTTACATTAGCAATTCATTTTCTTATATTTTGTTATTTATTAATTTTGTATCACAATTTATGTACTAATCTGGAATACTCCATAAACTGAATTTTTCATTTAACTTACTAGATGACACATATCCTCATGTAGGTTTTGTAAGAAAGCTTGTGGATGACATTTTCTGAGCTCCTGCATATTTAAGTATGTCATTTCCATTGCCTTCATTCATAAAAAATTCATAACCTGACCCTAAATAATAATGTGGGGTCACAGCCTTTTCCTCTCAGAAATCATTAGACATTATTCCGTTGGCTTCTGCCATTTGGTTCTGCAGAGAAGTACAAGGTTAGTCCAACCTGGGCAGTAAGGGAAAAAGGCACCCCTGTGGACACAGATACCCAGCCATTGCTTTCCTTTTGCACACACTACTCTCTCCTAAGAATATTTAAAATTATTTAGCAGTTTCCCGCTTCTGCACTGCACATCAAACATCTCTTTCATCCTTTTGAGCTTTTTCCACCTTTGTTTAACATTTAGGGAGAGTTTATCATATTTGTCTTCTACATTACTGAGATGATTTCTTAGTGTCAAATCTTCTCTGCTGGCTCTGTGGATTTAATTTGGCTGCTGCACTTTAAAATTTCATTACTTGCTCTATTATCACTTTCTTCTTGTCCTTTTCCCTTTCAATGGTTCTTTTCCTGTGGGTTTCTGATTCTGTTTCATAATAATCATATCTTCTGACATTCTACTCAGATGGCTAGTCAACTTTTGTACTTTTTTTTATTTCCCTTTGAGTCTCGAGGGTGATTTCTTTTTTCTCCTCTTTCCTTTGTAACGTTCTTAAAGGTTCAGTATTGAATTTATTAACACTTTCTAGTGATAGAAGAGGTATCAAATAAAGCAAAAGTGATATAGAACAGGCTGGTCATCGCTGTCTCTAGGCAGTATTAAGAATCGAACAGGTTTTTATGTCATTTGGTTTCCTGAAATTGAAATCTGACTTTCTCTGAATAATCCCAGTTACTAGTTTTATCTCTGGCCATGGAACCTTGTATTTAGAGGCAATGATCCTTGTTCTCCACCAAAACTGCCCACCAGCTTTCTCCGTGTGTCAGTGAATATTTTGCTATGAATGCATATGAAAAGAAGAGAGAGAAAAAAAATAACAAGAGAACAGAGTAGGGGAACAACACTTGCATGTTAAAAGAAAAAAATGAACAACAGAAATAACAAAGGGCTTTCCATATTCTCTGCTCATTATTTCTCCTGAGGATTTTCTAATAGCGAGTGGACTGAGAGACACTGATGGGAGTGGAATAGAAGAGGGGTTGGAGATATCATAGTGGTTAACTCAGAGGTAGGAAATGTGCCCCAGAAGGCCAGCTGCTCATTCTCTGAGATGTTTCCAAACGAATGATCAGAGAGACATTGGGACATAGTGTAGGTTTTTCTCTGTATCTTCTCTTTTACTAGCTTGTTAAAGTTTTAAATTAAATAGCATTAACCAAGATTTTTCAACCCTATAATATCAGCCTAAAATTGATTGTTATATAAAATTTCCTATGTATCATGTCCGTAGATTTCAGTATTTTTTGAAGTGCCATAATTTTCCATTTTCTGAGCCTTTGTGAGTGTTTTAGTGGAAATCTGGGACTGGCTAAACTAGGTGCGGCTATTCGGGTACCATATATAGAGTAAGGTATAGTCACAACTTAAATCTATCTCATCTCACAAATCCTTTTCCTTGTCTCTCAGCTGATCAAAGGTGCTAGGTCCTGCCTGGCACCCGAGATTCATGCTTGTCTTCTGAGGGTCCTTTCTCATCCTCTAATCCTGTGAGAACTTGCTGCCTCCAACCTTTTAGTGAAAAATGGTGGTCCTTGAAGGGCTTTAGCATGGGTGGTTCTTGGTGTCTAATGGTCCGAACACAACCATGTTGAGGAGGATGACTCTCTCAGGACCTCAAAGGCCCAATCTCTGTGTTGCTGTTTACTGTGTAAGCCTCCTTCTCTCTCCTGGGATCTGTCCTTGCTCTCTGCCTATTCATGCCACTGCTCCAGGCAAGGGTGACACTGAAGGCCCATTGGCTCACATTAAAGCTTGCTCTTGCAGCTGGCTCTTCTGTAGCCCATCAGTTCCTGGTTGGGCTGCAACCTCTCTGGACCTGAGTCTGATTGGTCTGATACCTGCTGCCTGATTTCTGGGGCCTGATTTTCCTCACTCTGCTGTCTCCCTCTTTCCTTTTCATGCTTTATTGCCCTAGATCCAGAAGTCCTTCTAATTCAGTTTCCTGCCTGATTTCTCCTAAAATTCAGTTTCTGCTCTCTTTTTTGCCTTTGGTATATAGTATTTATGCAGTTATAGGAACCCTAACCAAATTTGTCAGTACCTGGCAGATCTGACTTGCCCTGTCTCTGTTCTCTTGATGGCATGGGTCAACAGGAATCCCTGGGGACTTTATATCTACAGAAGGCATATAATACCATTAAATCCTATATTTCAGCAATTACAGACTACTAACCATTAAAACAAATGCAAATTATCTCAGATTTAGAGCCTTAAAGGAATTCAGTGTAATGTAACACAGTATTAAACATTTTAAAAGTCAGGACAGGTTTGTTTAAAAGACAAAGAAACAAATTATTTAATTAGTCATGATTCAGAGACAGTCTAATCAACCAATAAGCTCTTAAATTCTTCTGCCATTTTTACTATAGCTACTGACTTAACTCTGTGGTGCAATACTGCCCACTTGCATAGCAAATTTTATCCATTATCTTAAATGATTTTTCAGACCAACAAATATCTTAAAGCCTTGCTACAAATGAGTGGTCCAAGGAGGTGGTCTACTCTTCTTTAATTCAAGTTGGAATTTAAGAAACAGTTATCGTAAGTAGATGAGTTAAAGATGTAAGAATTATTTTACAGGTCAAAGCTCAAGTTATTGATTAGATACCAAGCTGTCCACAAGACGTACAGCTTATTCAAGCCACAAAAGAAAATCACATTTGTAATTTTAAATTTTCTATTTGATATATTTAAAAAGTAAAAAATTAAAAGTCAGTTAAGATTAAATATAATAAATTTAAATTAACCCCAATATAACCGCAATGTTAACATTTCATTATTAAATTACTTGTGTGTGTGTGTGTGTGTGTGTGTAGTGAGTGCACTAAGAATGTGAGGTTTCATGTGTATTATAAACCTACAGAACATTCCAACTGGGAAGCATATTTTAAATGATCAATAGCCGATAGGGCCAAGATATTTTAATATTTAGCATAGCAGACAGTGAAGGTCTAAATATGTATGTTATCATCACACTTTATGAAAAAAATGTTCTAGAAAAAGAGTAGGTAAAAATTAGTGATAAGTATATGAGTTACTACATATGTTAATTTAGGTCAATTAGCTATAAAAACCTGTTAGATTCTGAATACTGCCTAGGGACAATGATGACCAGCCTCTTCTATATCACTTTTCCTTTAATCAATACCTTTTCTATAAGGTAAGGGCCAAACTATATCATTATATTGTATGCATGTATATCACAATATGTATATTTCAAGACAAGTTGGAGATGATAAACATACATAATTTATAAATTTGTTAATTCAAAAAAATTTAAAAATGGATGTGAAGAAATAAGTAATGTAAGAGGCAATGATAAATGGTTTTCTCTTACCTACACAGATCTTCTTTTATGTGGAGGGAAATCAGTTCCTTGGGAATATGAAAAGAAAGTATGCTCTCTGACATCTGCTCCCGGATCTGCATCCACTTATTGTCAGACGTGGGAAATCTATATAATTTACACACTGGATTCTTGAACACTGGGAAGAAAAAAGAAAAAGGTAATTGATAAATTACAAACAAATGCATATCAGATGAAGCAAAATTAATGTTAATCAGGGTAACATTCTATTTATTGGCTCAAAAATTTATCAGAATTCATTAGTGTATTTGAATTTCTAAGGATTTTATTTTTATAAACCTTTTTAATGAAGCTTCTAAAACATAGTCTTTGTTAGCTAACAAATATATAAATAAATATTCAACAGAGTTAACAATTAGAACAATGCAACTTAAAACGATAATGAGATTTCATCTAACTTAGGTTAGAATGGCAGCCATTAAGAATACAAACAAATCCAGAGAGGATATGGGGAACAAGGAACGTCTCTACACTGTTGATTGGATGGTAAACTAATACAACCACTATAGAAATCAGTATGGAGGTACCTAAGGAGACTAGGGATGAAACCGCCATCTGACCTAGCTATACCAACCACTTCTCACTTTTTATCATAAAGAATTATGTCATCATATTATAGTGACACATGCATACCCATGTTTATAGTAGTACAATTCACAACAGCCAAACTGTGGAACCAGCCAAAGTGTCCATCAACAGATAAATGGGTAAGGAATATGATATATATAACAATGGAGTTGTTATGGTTTGCATATTGGATACCCCCCAAAAGCTAATGTATTAAGACAATGCAAGGAAGTTTAGAGGTAAAATAATCAGGTTTTGAGTCTTAACCTAATCAGTATATTAATCCTGGGATGGGGATTAACCGGGTGGTAACTGTAGGCAGACAGAGTGTGGCTGGAAGAGGTGGGTCATTGGCACATGCCTTTAGGATACGTATTTTGTCCTTGGTGAGAAGAGCTGTCTCTTTGCTTCCTGATTTCATGTCGGGAGCCCATTTCCTCCTCCACACCCTTCAGCTATGATGTTCTGCCTTGTCTTGGCCCCAGAGCCATGGAGTCAGCTGTCTGTGACCGCTAAAACCGTGAGCATCAAATAAATGTTTCCTCCTATAAAATTGTTCTTGTCAGATCTTTTGGTTATAGCAGCAAAAATGGTGACTAACATGGGAGTTTTGATTCAGCCATCAAGAACAGTGAAATTATGTCATTTTCAGGAAAATGGATGGAAATTGAGAACAGTATGTGAAGGGGAATAAGCCAAACTCAGAAAGTCAAGGGCCATATCTTTTTTCACATACACGGAAGTTAAAGAGTAGTGAGGTATCTCATGAAAATTGAAGAGAGATCGGTAGAGGAAAGGGACCAGAAGGAGGGAGGAAAGGACGAAAAGAAGAAACTAGAGAATGATACCAGCCAAATTATATTATTATATTGTATGCACGTACAAACATATAACAATGAGTTCCATTATATACAAATATAAAGCCCTAATAAAAATATGGAAAAAATTATATATATCCAACTCCAATTCATAAATGTGGCAAGTGTGGTTCTCTGATTTACTACCTATTGACTGCTTTCTCTTCTAGTTTTTTTATAAAGCATTTGTGCCTGTAAATATAGACGAAAATATAAGTACATACACATCACACACATTTTTTTTTTGCACTGCTTGGGATCAAAACCAGAGCCTCATGCATACTAAATAAGTTCTTTACCACTTTAATATACACTTCAACAAATGTATCTCTGAATTTCTTCTGACTACTCTTGGTCATCTTTATACACTTACTTAACAGGTGAAAACTGATACGTTATTTCTCAAGTTTCAAAAAGCCCTACTAATAAAAAATCTTGTATGTCAGAAAGGTTCATTTCTTTGGTGGATGGTCTATCAAAATTCAAATATTATATATATTTTAAAGTGCCAGTGAGTCTACACCACACTTTCCTGAAATCACAGATTGTCAGAAGCTAGTTAAGAGAGAATGGACAAACTATCTAGGACAAGTGTACAATGACTAGAGATGAAGAACAGGTCATACTACCAAAGATTTAAAAGGATTCAGGAAGAGTGGGGGCTCAGTGGGTAGGATAAGACACAGTACATTTCATAAAACCAGAATTCACACACACTTCCAAGCCATATCTTTCGGGGCAGAATGCTTTTCCCATTGCTTTTGGGCAATGAATATCTTTGTTACATACATACACTAAAGTTTAGTGGGCAATAAAACCTCAGATCAATCACTAATCAAGCATCTATTATTAGTTGGCTACAGTTTATCAAAAAAAGTTGATTAAAATATAGTTGATATTGAAGTGGATGCTACACTTTAAAAAATATCAAGCATGGTGGCCCAGGACTCCTCAATATTTAGGCATAAATACCTTTCAAAATTTTTAGGGCTCTGTAAGACAACCATATCTCATTCACTACTTCAATAAACATACAATATCTTTCTGAGCATTGAAATGAGAATCTGTTTATCCATTCTTCTGCAGCCATCCATTCTCAAAGGGATACTCTGAGCATTATCATTATCACAATTGGCATCGATTACAGCAGAGACCTTGATGTCAAGCATCCCACTCTTCAACCCACAGATTCAAATCTCTGGTAAATTTTACATATCCCTGTCAAGAATGAGGCAGCAGCTTCACCTTTCAACAGGACCAAGAGAGGCCAGAAAACAGTAGAATATTTCCAGTGTGCTGAGAGAAAATATTTTAAAATCTAGAGCTGTGTGCCCAAAGAGATTATCCTTTGAATATATTCATGACCATTTAAGTTTTGTCAATTAGATTCTATCAGAAATACATACAGAGCCTTCATTATATTTATTTCCTTTCATCTAAAATAGAAGAACTTGCTGTCAGTCAATAAAAGAAACTACATGATTCCATTCATTTTTAAAGTGACAATGTTTCAGAGATGTAAGAATTTTACTACCGCTTCTGTTAACATATCTCTAGAGTTGAAATATGTATTGAATGCAATATAGTGTCAGTCAGGTTAAATCATATGGATGAGATCTCATGAATTCTAATATGTATCACATGGTTAGGAATATTAATGCTTCCTTTTATGGAAAAACAAAAACTTCAATCCCTAAAATATCCAAATTGTTGCATAACACATAAATATTCAATCAATATAGGTGCTATGTCTTAATCTCTCTCTTTTTTTAATTACACAGAATCTTTATATCATCCAAAATACAGTCAAGTAGAATCATCGGACGTTTCTTGCCCTTTATAGGTAAATAATTATTTTTTTTAAATTCACATTTTGAATTATGTGAGAAAGCAGAAAAATATTTTCTCTGTTAACCCCAAATATATCACTTAACTTTTGACATGTTTTTTGGCTTTCCATTTTAATGTGTTTTTTTTTCCTGTGTTCTAAAAAGAAACCTCTACTAAGTCACTTAAGCAGAAATCAAGAGCAGTTTGATTAATGAGTTTGGGGACGCTCCTTTGGACACCAGGCACACATCATCCAAAGACAACACGTGAATACTGTTATTTTTGAAGGAAATACCTGGGGAAAATGATCAAAAAGTCAGGCAGCTTAATCATGCCCCCTCCCTCAAAAATATTCTGCACAACTTTCCTTTCATAGATTCTGATTTTTAAGACTCATGTCTTCAAACGTTGGCACTAAACTGTATACATTAACCAGTATCTAAATGCAGATATGGTGGGATCTACTTTGCAACTCAGATCCACCAGCATTCCTTCCTGAGCACTTGCTATGTCTGAGGCAAGGAGACCTAGTGTTTATCAGAAAATACTATATGATGGACATAATAATAAAAATGAGGAAGTATGATCTGACCTTAAACCTTGATGCAAGTTCATTGCACTAGTCACAAAAAGACCTGCTAAAATATCTCAACTCAAAATTCTTGCTTTCATGGTGGGGTTAGTCATCATCACATTAAAATAATGGCATAGTTCTCATGCATCCAATATTAAACAATGGTTCATAAATGATAAATGCTTTGGCCAACTTTTTAAAATGCTTCTACCTTGTATCAGAAATACGATTTCAGCAATTTTGCATACATGCTCCAACTGTTCATGGGAGTAAATGACTTTGTGAATGGCTTTCAGCTCTGATTCTCCATTGTGTCAAGTATTTTTTCATGTAGGAGCAGCTTTCTTGACCATATACTAGGCCAATAACAATTTCAATGTAGCAAGACAGCCCTGCATGTATCCTCCATCTCCAATTTTTACAGTGCTTTTTGCCAGAACAATTGTTAAAAACATTATGTGCCAGATTCTACCAAGAGAAAGATAGTTTAGGTATTTTGTACCATATCATGGTCTTATGCTGACTTAATGAGGGTTAAAGTTCCAAACTGGGCCAGATTTTAACTGTTCCCCTTTAGGGGGAATTTTAATCTGTTCCCCTTTAGGTTCACCTCTTGAGATGAACACAAGACAGTTTACTCCAAAATTGCAACCCCCAACTCAAACGTCTATATTATTTCTCCCGGAAATAACATTTAGCAAGGTAGCATGCCACCTGCCTTTCCTCAGGATTCGGCAGTTGTGAAAGCCAAGCTGTAGCAGTTCTGAATAATTCAAAATAAAGATGCCAAGGAAATGTTCAACAAAACCAACAGAGATAACACATAAAAAAGACTGCTGCTCAAGCAACCTCGGGCAGGAAAAATAAACCAGAGCTATCACAGGATGGTTTCTCTTTTCTGTTAACAAAGGACTGCTGGGGATACCAGTGGGTTGATTGGACAAGGAATTTTGGAAATACGATTCAGGGTCCAAGGGATCATCCAAAAGCTGGAACCCTTATTTCGTTGGGTTATCTTTTATACACTTCTCTGGGGAAAGCTCATCTGTGGTTATCTTCAAGCACTTTTTGCCTCCAGGATAAGGCAGAAGTTATATATTTAAATAGAATCTGACTTTATAGGCTTAGGGACTTAAAAAATCACTAGTTTAATGTACTGTGTACTCTTATAGAGGATCCATTCATTCTGTAGTTTTAATTATGCAGTTGTTTAATTGTTTAATTATTCAGCCTAATGTGCATACATTGCCTATTCTCCAAATGCTATATGACACGTATTCAGGGTAAGTC